CGCTCCGCCGGCGGCGAGAGCAGCGGCAGACACCGTGCGCGGAGCAGCGGCGCGTTTTTGTCCTCCGTAATTACTGCAGCAAGCAGAAATAACGGTCACAGTCTCTGTCGCTTACTTTCGCTTCTCTTTTTATTAATTAAGAGAAATTGTGGAAGCTAGCAGGAGAATTGCAGCAGCTTTCAGCCCGGCAGTATCCCCGGGAAGTTTGCTGTCCTGTTCTGTTGCCGCGCTGCTTGGGACGAGTGAGACACTATTATCCTGCTAAAGCAGCGGCAACAACAAAATCCCACAGTTCCTTTCCCACGGTAGCTTAGTGAGTAGTTTTCAGGTAGGTCAAGTTTCTAATTTAAAAAAACAAAACACAACATGCAAATGCAAAGTCAGTAGGGTCCCGCGTTCACGGAGAACATTTCCCCAACGTTTTCCCTTTGCAAATCCGTGTCGGCACACCTTGTAGGTTGGCGCTGGTTGGGACAAGTAACGTGCCGCAGTGAAACGTTGATGAATGAGGTCCCCACATGCTGCTGCTGTTACCAGCTCTAGCCTGTGGCGCTTTCTCTTGTCGTCTGTTCAGAGACACGGCGTTTCCTTGTCGTAGTGATGACGCACATTCCTCTATACCACCATTTTTAAGGAAACGGTCTAGCGGCCTGCAGGAAACCTTTCCTTCCGTACAGCTAGCAGTAGCAGGCAGAGCTCAGCGCTGGCCGTTAACGTGGCGTCGCGGCGCGAGCCTGGGCAGCTGGGCGTATGCGTCCCGCCCCTCGCCGCTGCCCAGCCGGCGGGCTCTGTCCTTGCAGGTGCCCGAACACCGGTTACGTCCCTAACGCCTCTGCAGCGCTCTTACCCTGCCTGCCACTCTCCGAGCCCTCCAGGACCGAAACGTCCCTCCTCGAGCCGCGAGCAAAGCAGCCGGGTCAGCCGAGTGCCCCATGCTCCCGGCAGGGCCCTGCCTCCGTCTGCGCGGCTGCGGGAGGGCAAATTGCATTAGCCGTTTATATTTGGAGTGTCAGATTAAATCAGTACTGTAAATAAGAATAAATATACCATATTCTGACTTTCAGTATTTCAATGTGGCTGTGGTCTTGCTTTCGTAACAGTGCAGGCATCCAAGAAAAGAAGTGTGCAAGTTACTGGGGATCAATAAGTACAGGTTGAAGCATCTGCTCTTTGGCATAAATAGTACAAGACCAACACAAGGCAAATCCTCTAATCGTGCTGATGGTATGCTTTGACTATGATTGATTTGCTCACAAGAACCGGGTGCGAAGGCTGCTGCTATTGAAGGAAGGAAGCTTAGCTTGCAGGGAAGGAAATGGGAAAAGGAGAAAAATCCCAAACATGGCAAATAGCTGGCTGCAGAGAGACCCCAAATTAGCAACTTTGCTCATATGAAATTAAACAGGAAAAGCTCCACTATCTATGTTGTGCTCGAGCAAACCGTGTCACCTCAGATCATTTTCAAGTGCTCTCTCTGCATGTTAGGAGGCATTGCTTCTCAGCTGGCTGGAGCTTTAGACCAAGGTAGCGCATCTAGCTTGATGCTGAGCTGCTTTTCCTCCTGGACTGCCAGCTCTGTGTGTAGGTGGCAGATGGCTTCTCTGGAGGCTTCCACCCCTTCCCTCCTGATGCACAGACCCCTGCTTTGCTGCCAGCCCTGAGCCGTACAGGGGCAGCTGTGGCTGTTTAGCAGGTAATGTGCTCTCACATGCTGAAAACAGGACAGCAGGCAAAGAGGCTCTGATTTATCTGATTTTCTTCCCTGAGCTTATGGCTAGCATGGTGCAAATGAAGAAGAGTGCTCCTTGTCACTCGTGTTAAATGTAGCCCACGAGTGGTGCAGGAGGCCTCTCCGGTATGTGTGCACCATGCACCCTACCATGAGACCTCTGGGAACTGCAGGCAATGGCAATTATTTGCGTGGAAATACTGTCATTATCTGTGCTGACCTGCTCAAACCTGAGAGACATATTAGAAAAAAAAATCCTGCTGGCCGTGCTCTGAAGACACTTTCTCAGGAAGGTCAGTACTGCTGCTGCACAG